CACCAATGAACTCCGCTCCTGAAATATTGACGCCCTTCTGTACGGTTGCCAAACTTACTGAGTTAGGAAGGACAGTAATGAATTTTCACTCGCTGTACTGAAAATTTTCTATTCCCAGTTCAGTATACAAATGTCCTTATTTTTCCAAAATGTGTGCTGATTTGTACTGATTTTTTAATCTCTATTCCACTTCGTTCACATCAGTGGCGGATATAGCATTTCGGTTGGGGAGGGACGTTTGGGACAACTTGCCAAATAAGGTTAAATTAAAAATAGTTCTAACACGTTTCTGCGAAGAGTGACCCTTCAAAGTTGAAGCTATATGACCAGCTGGAAAAGTAAAAATTTTATGTATAATCTATTAACAAATAGCAAGATAAAAAATTGTACATTGTGTTTATTAAGTACTGGATGTACATATCGTCGTAAAGTACAAAACCGCGTATCGTCATTCTGTAAAACCGCTTTTCCAAGTCAAATAAGGTGAAAATAAGCAACAAGAATTAACAAGGCGAGCTTAGCACAGTGCGTAGGCAACTGGCTGAATCAGTGGGATCGTCGGTTCGAATCCTACTGAAAGAAATCTGATAAGGAATTGTGGTGATTTCCGAAATAGCTATCACTTCTACCATTTTTCAAATTATTGTTGCTTTTCCACAATAAGTTTTCATTAAAAAACGGCCTCGAGCTCAGTAAAAATTGTTGAACATAATTGTAATAAGGCCATAAAATAACAAAAATAAAAATTAATATTTAAAAATTACACTTTCATACAAAAATTTATTACGCACGTATTTGACCAATCACATCTGAGTATGTATATGTAAGTGTACATACCCAGCCAGCAAAGAACAACAGTACTCGTACAATTATCATCAATTTTCGTATCCGGAAAACGTTCGAAAAAGATTATGTCGTTTGAGAGCAATAATTTTTTTTTTATTTGCTTAAGCTCAACATTTGAAAGCATGCATGCGTAGTTTGGCAGTGGCTGAGTGTGCAGAGGAGTGTGCCGCTATTAATTAGCTTCCAGAAGGTGCCGAGCTCGAATTCCGTCAGGCGCTTCCTAATTTTATTTTATTTCATTTGAACCATGAAAAAGTATCTGAGAAGTGCAGAAGGAAAGCGTATTGACAGGAAAATTCAATCTGACAAATTTCAGAAAAAACAGCCTAAAACGTATCCTTTTCCCCACCATTTTCGGTACTTTTCTGTGCATACATTTCTGCCGCACAATTTAGTGGGAATATGGATCATTAAAGTATCCGGTTTTCATCGACTTTTTTCTGTTTTCAGATAGGCTCTCGGATTTTTTGCTGGCTGGCTACGCATCCCAAGCATGCTGATCTGCTCGAGCGGTGACAACACACATACATACATAGTGCATGCCCTGTAGTACGGAGGAGCGACTACAGGAATGATGAATCGTTAGCTACCTGATAAACTCCGCAATTACCAACCGACTACTTGCAGTGTATTTCAGCGATTACTTTTACAAGGCAATGTCCTAGGCGATAGTCACCATCGGCCCTCTCTGCACTACCGGGAGTTACCAAAGTCACTTGCGTGATTTATGAGCGCCCTTTGTCGTAGTTTTTCGCTATCTGGTTGGACTCTGCACTACCACGGATTAATAGAGTAGCTAGTTACCTAGGAGTCGGTGCAGTAGCGGTTCAAAAGTAGCGATTGACTCCAGCAGTATTGGTGGGTGCTTATCCATACAAATTGCGTGCTGTGGTGTTGATGGAAATTCAACATCGGAATGCGCATTTATGTGCCTGGCTGTAGCTGAGTGCGCAAAGATGCTTGCCACACTTTGTTGATATCCAGAGAGGGGGTCAGGGGCAGGCAATATGCAAATTAAACATTTTCTTTTTGTTTTTATCTTGATTATTCACTTCAGGGATGCATTTTCAGAATGAACGCGATCATTTCATATGGTAAAAAAGAATGTGATTTCTATTTTTGTTTAAACGTGTGTTTAATAAAACTATCAGTGAATTGAAAATGTTTTCTGTTCAAAAAACGTGTACTGAAATGTACTAATTTTTTAGCGCTAAAAAGCCGATAGTACTGAATTTTTGGGGAAAAAATCTGGCAACTCTACACTTCTGCCTGAACCTCTGTGCGAGCTGGAATCTATTTAGCAGCATAAAATCCACTCCATCCCGTAGAGGCCAGCCACACAAGCTATCGAAGGTGGCATTGCAGGATGGAGATTTCTCCCTTGCTCTGGTGCTTAGTAATTGATTTCCGCTCTAATTTCCGTCTTAATACTCGCTCAAATCGAATACTGCCTGCCGATTTATGGAAGGTGTGCGAACACAAACATACATATATCAGTTGGAGTACCTACATATATCACGCTACGACCCGTCGTAGCATAAATGCGTTCCTTACATCACCAATAAAACACATCGTGGGCCAAACCGGCTTACCATGAATAAATTCTCCGAAAGCTGATTTCCATAAAAGACACGAAAGAAATTTCTGACTTAAGTCTACGCTTCGTCGCTGACTTTGGTAAACAAAACTTTAAATATACATCTCGCATCTAAGTGTAATAGTGGTGCAAAAAAAAAAAAATGATTCTGACATCGATTCATCGATTTTTTTAAATTTTGACTCAATATCGATGAAAGGGGGGTGTGGAAAATTTGCAAAATCGCACAGTAATCGCGCCTACTTTCCATATAGTAGAAATATGAAAACTAAGAAAAGGTCCAATTTTTGACTGCTTCGAAGGTATCGAATCTGTCACTTCCTCAATCTCTGATAATCAGGGCCGAAGAAAATAAACGTGAAAAAATTCATTTTAAGCGCTTAGGTAAGCACTAAAACATTGGTAAATATGCTTGCAAATATGCTCGCAAAACAAAGTACAATTTAATGTTTTGTGTTTTATTCAGTTTATTTCAAGGATTAAAAAATTACAATGGACATACAAGTGTTGCTTGATATTCTAAAATAATGGAAATAATTTTTTTAAATATTCGTTATTCTCCATTTGTAACAAATTATTTTTAATCTCTTCAATAACGCCAATGCCTTCCCGTAGACACGAACCATTGGTTTTAAATTCTTGTACCAAGCAGAAATGCAATTGAAGTTACGGGTTAATAAAAACGGATTTATGTTTTTAAGACGAATTCAAAAAAAAACAAACCGAAGAAACGGTCAAGAAAAATGTATGTATGTAAAATCAATTTAGTCTCGCATTATCTATTATTCTGCATCAAAACCTAAATTTAAAAAAAAGAGGACTTCGAAGCTTTTCCCTTTAGGTAGCGATATGCATTCATGTAAGCGATAGTCATACATATGTATGTATATATGCTAACTATACCCGAGCGCACTCGTGCACAGGGTATTATAACTTTGTTCGCATAACGGTTATTTGTAACTGCCAAAACGAATCGAGATGTATATAGACAAATGTATACATAAGTAATCAGAATGAAAAGAGAAATCGATTAAACCATGTTTGTTCGTCCATACGTCCGTCTGTCCGTGTACACGATAACTCGAGCAAAAATTTAGATACCCAAGGTAGGTTGCTGTTGAAAATGGGCGAAATCGGACTGTAACCACGCCCCCTTCTCATATAACGTTTTTTTTTCGAAAAATGCAAAACCTTTGATATTTCAGTAAATATTGGATCCAAATTATTGAAAATTGGAATGTGAAATATAATTTTGGTACAATGAAATTTTTATGATGAAATACTGTATCTTAGTAGCCGCTTCACCAATACTTACCAAACTTGGTACGAGCCTTGCTTATAATCCAGCTAAGAAATTTGTTGAAAATCTTTGAAATCGGGCAATAGCCCCGCCCATCTCCCATATAACGGTAGTTTACAGAAACACGAAAACTACGATAAATCAGTAACTACTGAAGCTAATTAACTCAAAATCGATAGTTGCAATGACCACTGAGCAGAAAATTAGACCATTACATATAAATATCTGGATTTTGGACGTGGCGCCGCCCACTTATGACCACAAATGAGTATCTCGGTAACCGCTTTATCAATTTCTACCAATACTCGGTGCACTTAATAATTCGTAAAAGCAATTTGTTGAAAATTATTTAAATCGGACTAAAATTGCACCGACTTCCCGTATAACGTTAATTTTCGGATATACGAAAACTCCGATATTTCAATAACTGAAGACACCAATTTACTCCAAGTTAATACCTCCAACAATATTTTAACAATAAATAAGACTGTTATAAACTTTTAAGTATTTTGAAGAAGGTTGGAACGATGACAGGTGATAACTGCGCCGGTTATATAAAATTCGGTTTCGCCCGAACTTATACTTCTTTACTTTTTTTTTTAAATTTTGTTATGTATCACCGACGTCTTCCCAACATTTGAATCAAATGTTGTGAAAGAAACGTTTTTTTGATTAGTTTTATTGTAAAGTTGGTAAATATAATTTGTTTTGACTAATTACATATTTGTCTTTGCTTAAGGGAAATCGCTTTCACTTTGGTCACAAGGTTTTTTTATATTAAATGATTTATGGCCAATCTATTGGCGTTTTATTATATCACATATGTACATACATATATACATAAAGGGAGTTGAGAAAACAAATCCATTACTCATTATATATGTACATAAGCATATTTTTCTCCTCGGTTATTTTACATTTGTACACTAAACTTAAGTAAGCGGGTGAATATGAATATTTGTATGTAAATAGTATATACTTAGATGTTTTACTATGATTTTTTGCACAAGCGATATATATATAACCCATAGTACGATTATAAAGATTTGTCAATAGCTGCGTGCGCAAACCCACTCACGCCAATCAATGAACTCTTTTATTACATATTTACAAACATGTCCACTTTGTACATACATATATACATATCTACTTTGCTGATCTTTTATCACACATACATGTTAATGTTTACCAGCCAAATTGTTTGCCAACCAATTTACTAACAAAAAGTTTATTGTTTTTATTGTTTCTTCTTTACAGCTGTTTTCAGCCTGCAACGCCAAAACACACAAATGCACAAACTACTCGTACATATCTCCACATCTATGTCACAATGAAGAGTATTATTTCTCACTTTTATAGTAATTATGGCTTTAGTTTTATTTATGTGGTAAGTAGAATTGTTTCTATGCATATTTTATAGCTTGAAATTTATTTGCATCGTTTTACGGGTACCAACAAGTGCGTACATATGTAAATGTTATCAGTGGCGTTGCTACAATGGGCGTGAGGGGTGGCCCGCACCGGTGGCCACTTGTTTGCGGTGATTTTCGATCGTCAAAAAATAACGGCAAAATCACTTTTTTTTCATTTAATTTTTTTGTAGTTTATCGCTTTTTTTTAATTCACTTCACTTTGCGATATGATTACTTCGAAATCTTTGACCCAAATGTCATGCTCTGTACAGCAGATTTTAACCCCAATATTTCTGCGTCATTAAGCACCCCCATGCAGGGCTGCCAACTTGGATGAAACCGTGCCATTTTTGGCATTATTTTACTTCAAATGGCACTTAATTTTTTACTTTGGCACAAAGTGCCAAAATGGCACTTTTGAAAAATAGTAATCTTTCAAGACATTTTTGGGAAAATGGTTTTCAACGAGTTAAATGATTAAATTGTTAAATTTTGCAAGGCAAGTGCATGCGATTTAACTTGTTTATGAACAAGTTTTGTTCATTTAACTGGTTCAAGCACGTTTAGCATATTTATTTCGTCAATTTGAAAGTCTTGTAACTCGATTTTGTCTTAACTCGAAAGGAAAAGTACATAGGTTTCAGCAGAGAAAATCCAAACTGGCTAAACTGGAAGTGGTTAAGAGATACATAAACTGATGATATACAGAGTTCATCAAAAGTAATCGATTCTCATGATTAGACTGCGGATTTTTATGCAGAAAATGAAACCTAAAAATATGTACCCCATATTTATAAACAAAATTTATACAAATTTATTTACTTTGATAATAGTTTCATGATAATACAACAAATGATTATGATGATGCAACGGAAAAATAACAGAAGCAATACAATTGATATCATAATATTGTAATCTAAATCTAATTACAATAAAATAAATAAATAACTAGAAATCATACTTATTTATAGGGATGTTGCGAATGTGGAGTTTTAGACATCCGCGGATGCGAATGCGGATGCCAAGTATTTTTAAGAAACAATTAGCATAATGGCGAGATCGTTGTTTAAACAGCGCCTACAAGCCAAACCAGATGTGTCAGGTTTTTCTAAAGCCTCTTAAAAAGAATTCTTCATTCTCATTCCTTTGGCTGTTTCAGAATTTGGGGAATCTGTAACTTCATCAGCGTTTTTCGATTTTAGTTTTTTTAATTCATTTTTAATACATTCTTCTGCGGCTGGTTTAAACAATTTGTGCTTATAGCGAGCTAAATAAGTGGATATGGAAAATAAATTATTATTTTCTAGGAATGAAAATTTTGAACACAATTCTGTTTTCAAAGTCGTAGCTGTCAGCTGAATCAGAATATTGTTATTCTTAAAAAAGCACCCCGTTTTTTTTTTAATTATTTGAGCATCGATTCTCTTTATAGCCAGACGTTGATCATTTCTGCTGGAAATCCCTGTTGAAGGAGCTTACTCTTTGACTTTTAATAGCAAAGAAGGGACAGTTTTACCACAGAAGTTTTTAGCCAAGGATCCAATGTATTTACCTACTAAAAAAATATTGCCTAACAAGTAAACAAAATTACTGTTCTTTAAATTTTTGATAAAAATAAATTCCCCAAAGAGCCCCATTTGAAATTATTAACACGAATATACGTAACATCAAAAGCAAATCATGAAAATTGGGTTAAGAATTACAGTGCACACTTTCTTCTTTTGTGTCTAGTAGTTTTTTTAAGATTGGTAAAAGAAAAATCATAATAAAGAAAGAAACCAATGCAGGTATTGAAAGAGAAAACAAAAAAAAATTGTTAAAAAGGCTAGGTTCCCTTTCACGTACGGCAAAGGTCAAGTAGAAGTTGGAACTTATACGACTGCCCATTAATAGCTCGGTTATATAGCTTAAGAAATAATATGTTTAAGACATTTTTATCAAAGTTGATAAATATGACATTTGACCAGTTTTGTTACATAAATACTCCCACGACCACGGACAAAAATATTGGCAACAATTTGTCATTTTGTTTGCCATATATACGTTTATCGGTGCACTTGCACAAGATTAATTCGAATGCGAATGCGAATCTTAACATTAATGCGGAAGCTCCGCGGTTGCGAATGCGAATCTGAATATTCGCAACAACCCTGCTTTTTTACATTGCGGTGAAACTTGAATATCCACACCGGGTGCCACCCTTGCTAAATACGCCATTGTGTGTTATTGCATAAATGCGTGGGAATGCAATTTTCTTAATTTATTTACGGCTTCAACTATCTTTGATTTGGTTGCATAAATCTCCTTTGTTAACATCCGATAGTATATACATACATACATACATATGTATGTTAAAACTGACTAGGTAATTTCTTTCGACCGGTGCGAATAATTTTGCATAAATTCAGAAAACTAAATCTCAACGTTCAGGAAAACTGCTTGGTTTCCCTAGAGAGCATACAATCGGGCTCAAAAACAGTAGTCGGCAAAGCTAACTCACGTGAGTAAGTAGTACGCTCATCACAAGCATTCTTTTAAAGCGTAGAGAGACGGCAACGTTGATCCGGATTAACGCCGCAATCGATCTGATCAAAATTGTGCCTTAACAGATGGCAGCAATGCGGATTTACGAGCCGCGAGGTCGTAGGTTCGAATCCCACGGCCAGTAGAATATTCTTTTTTTTTTATTCATTCAATTATAACTTCTATATTTTTTAAAGATGTTTTTAATTAGTTGTTTTTGATAAAAAAAAATTTGAAATAAAATAAAACAAACGAAAATAACATAAAGTAAAATTAAATACATAAATCGAACAAAATTAAAAAAAATTAAAGTAACAATAAAAACATTTTGGCAATCCATCCAACCGAGGATCGAACCTGGGACCTGCAGGCTTGTACTACGCAGCCCTCACCACTCGGCTACCGCGGATGAAGTAGTTGGCTGCTTTGTTTGCACAGGGAGCGTAGAACACAAATGAAAAACAAAATTACTTAGCGTGGACATATACCTTTTCATCGGTAATGCAGTCACCGTATTAATTCAAATAAGTTCTTATTCAATTTTAATTGGATCCCTTTCTGAATTAGTTTGATGATAGCATTACCGATGAAAAGGTATATGTCCATGCTAGTTTTGTACTTTCTCTGTATTCTACGTTCTCTGAGTTTTCGTCAGTGTTGTCATCGAATATTCGCTTAATCCGAGTTAAGTTTGGGAATTAACTCTAGGACTTAATCCGGTTCAACTACAGTTAATTCCCGATATAATTCCGAATTGACGAGTTGATCCGGATCAACGCTGCCGTCTGTTTAAGCTTTTACACTCTTCAAATCAGTCGTTGCTTAGACAGCAGAGCTGTAAAACTATCGATAGCCATTCCATTCGATATTTTCGATAGTTTGCATTGATACCATCGATACTACTGATAATATCGAATAATTTTAAAATGCATTGACGAAGCTATTTATATAAACTTTTTAGTAGTTTTGTTTAGTTCCTGAAGAATTAGCTTACTGTCATATAGCAATTTTAGGTTGCTTTTGTCCTTTCTCTTAGATTTTTAAACATTTCAAACCGATAATTTAAAAAACTAAAATTCCAATTTGTATAAAAACAAATCGCTTGTAAACGTAAAAAAAAATTGTATGTATTACAAAAAAACGTTCATCAGTAAAACTCAGGCTATGCCACAGTATTTTTGCGCAAAACTCACTCCAAGAACCCAAATCATTATACAAATAACCGAACCGTACCCCAACTTCTACATGATTATTTATCCATTCAAATTATCAAAAAGAAATACAAGAATCCCCAAAATTTCACCAACTCCGGCTTATATCAATAGTTTCTTCCATCGGAGAAAAATCACTAACACCATAGTATGGTTCCATAAAGGTATACCAACTAGTTTTTGCAAATTTAATGACACCCAGTTCACATGATTCAAGTACTTGAAAGCAATTCTTGTACATTCTCTCTCGGGTTTTCTTTTTGCTTTTACACGCTTCAATTTTGTTGCATTCAAGTTTTTGGTTCTTTAAATGGGAAACAACGAAAATGTGAATTGCTGTGCTTGAAGCTTGGACCCACTTGACGGTTCAGATGCATATTCGCACTTACCTTTTCTTCTAACCCCTCTCTTCCACTGCCAAGCGGATTTGAATTCAATACTTGAACCATGTAAAACCCGTCTTACTATTGACACAACCTGAAAAATGCGCCAAATCGCAATGCTCCAATAGGTAAAACATAGTGATGTGTAAGCAAATCAATGTTACCGAAATCCCATTAAAAAAAAAGCGTTGTAAATAGTACAAATAATATAAACAGTTTTTATTTAAAGAATATGAAAATACATTTAGTAATCTGACAACATTTTAACAACATAAATGTATTCATTAATATTTACTTCGCTTGTTTATATTCTCAGTTGGTATCTTTCAAAAATTTACAAAGACTATCAATAGTGCCCAAAGACCACTCGATAGCGCAAAAATAGTACCATTCGATCCTATCGATAGTACCATCGATAGTCTTACATCTCTAACAGACAGCAACGAAGCATCATATGCGAAGGCTGCATTGGTAATTTTCTTATGCCACAGTGTGCGCTTACACATGTATGTAGAATATTCGATAAAAAAAAAAATACTTTATGGGGCTGTTCAGGGTATTGTGGAAATGGCTTTGCATTTGCAAATTTAAAGCTTGCTACCATGGCAACCCTTTGCATTGTATTGTTGTGAATTTACAAAGTCACCGAAATATGGAAATGCAAGATCATATGTACAAGATCCTAAACAGCCTATACGATTCCAAATACTTTTGGTGAAATGCAATGCCTCTTGTGTCACTTCACCATTAAAGGTGAGCGGGAATATAATGTTAAAAGGGATTATATTTTTCTTTCCTATACATTATTACCTTTGATATACAATAACTATTTTTTTTTCATTCGTTAAGCTTTAAATA